AAGGACTTTTCAAGGACCACATTAGATTTTCAAGGACCACCTACTAAGAATATAATAATTTACTTCACGGACTGTACAAAAATGCACATTCTCAGTCTATTCTAATAAGACTTTAAGGCTTGAACTGTTTGTTTCTCCAACCTCTCTACATTTTTCAGTTCACCGGTCTGAAATTGATAGTTAATTATTACATAAAACAAAGCACTTTAAGTAAATAACCTTTAATTCTCTGAGCTGTGATTTACATTCTGTCTTGAACAGCGATGTATAAGCGCTATATAAATTCCATTATTATTATTATTATTGGACAACAAAAAAGCATCAGAAAATTCTTTCCAGCTCACTACATTCAAATTTAAAGAAAATTCAAGGACTTTTCAAGGAAAAATGGAATTCAAGGACTTTTCAAGGACTTCCGCTAAAATGCAAGGACTTTTTAAGGACTTGCGCTAAAATTCAAGGACTTCCGCCAAAATTCAAGGACTTTTCAAGGACTTCCGCCAAAATTCAAGGACTTTTCAAGGACTTCCGCTAAAATTCAAGGACTTTTCAAGGACTTCCACTAAAATTCAAGGACTTTTCAAGACTGTCCGAACCCCACTAACGCTAATTATTCATGAGTTAGGGTTGGAAGACAAAGGAAATTCAGAATCAACCAAGGTTAAAAAAATTTAACCTGAAATTAAAACTGACCTGTAACATATACATGTTGTATATAAAATAAAATAATATACAGTGCATGTGTTACAGGTCAAAATTATATTCAGCTTAAAATTAATTTGATTTGACTCTTAATTCCCTTTGTCCCCTAGCCCTAATTCCTGAATAAAATTTTTATCGACATTGCTGTATGTAAAATAAAATAATATAATCACAAAATCAACTACAAATGATTTAAAAGCATGATCCATGCTTCACAAGAATGTGAACACGACCAGCTAAAACGCTTTAAGCAAGTTAGGTAATAAAGATTAGAGTTCAATGTATTGATTGTACTACTTTACACCCATACTGCCATATCGGTGATTTTACCTCTTGGGTATTGCTGGCCTCCAAGTCATCAGTCTTAGGTTCAATTTCATGATGATCCAGCTGACGGAACCAATGAGGAACTGTTTCATCATTATCATCATCAACGTGATCATTTTTCTCATAACTTTCATTCCAGGAACCACTTTTATCAGATGATTTGTCTGTATCTCCCCAAAATGACCTTTTAGGTGTTGCTACTTCGCGTGCAGTCTGTTATGAAATATACAATGTAAATGTTGTGGTTCTTCTTTTTTTTTTGGAGAGGGGGGGGGGAATTTTATGTCTTTTATTATAAACTCATTTTCATACACTGCTACACCCGTAAACAAAAGAAAATAAAATTTAAACTAAGAACAAAATTTAACCACAACAAATTGAATTTAGATCCTAGTAGGCTAATCCATATCTCTACTATCTATTATGAAACTTTTTGACACATTTCTAACAACAAGGGAAGGTATTTCAAACAGGGCAGCCATTTTTCCTCATGTAAGCGACCACTTGATGCAATATTATTATTGTCTTATCTCTATGTTCACTGTACTGTTATTGGTAAATCAGAGTGTAAGAAAGACTTTGAGTGACATGTCGCTGTCTGTTTCATAATGAAGAAATTAAGTGTAATTAATTCCCTTAGTCTATCAATTAGATGTGACAGACTTGTTCCCAGAAGAGCCCTCATCTGGTTTGACTCTCATAAGTGACCACTTCCAGTGAGCGACCACTGAATCTTGAGATTTTGGCTGATCACCTACTTATGGAAGGTTAAACTGTATCAAAAATGGAAGCTGTTCCTCACCACTCCTGGTTGGTAGAGAATGTATTCATCTTTGAAGACAGCTCTGCCTTCACGAGTGTTCGGCACAGGCTCTAACCAACCAGAATCAAGTAAACCTTGTCCTATTGTCTGTGATTTACATTCTGTCTTGAACAGCGATGTATAAGCGCTATATAAATTCCATTATTATTATTATTATTGGACAACAAAAAAGCATCAGAAAATTCTTTCCAGCTCACTACATTCAAATTTGAAAAAAATTCAAGGACTTTTCAAGGAAAAATGGAATTCAAGGACTTTTCAAGGACTTCCCCTAAAATGCAAGGACTTTTCAAGGACTTGCACTAAAAATTCAAGGACTTTTCAAGGACTTCCCCTAAAATACAAGGACTTTTCAAGGACTTCGGCTAAGATTCAAGGACTTTTCAAGGACTTCCCCTAAAATTCAAGGACTTTTCAAGGACTTCCACTAAATTTCAAGGACTTTTCAAGACTGTCCGAGCCCCACTAACCCTAATTATTCATGAGTCAGGGTTGGAAGACAAAGGAAATTCAGAATCAACCAAGGTTAAAAAAATTTAACCTGAAATTAAAACTGACCTGTAACATATACATGCTGTATATAAAATAAAATAATATACAGTGCATGTGTTACAGGTCAAAATTATATTCAGGTTAAAATTAATTTGATTTGATTCTTAATTCCCTTTGTCCCCTAGCCCTAATTCCTGAATAAAATTTTTATCAACATTGCTGTATGTAAAATAAAATAATATAATCACAAAATCAACTATAAATGATTTAAAAGCATGATCCAGGCTTCACAAGAATGTGAACACGACCAGCTAAATGCTTTAAGCAAGTTAGGTAATAAAGATTAGAGTTCATTGTATTTATTGAACTACTTTACACCCATATTGCCATATCAGTGATTTTACCTCTTGGGTATTGCTTGCCTCCAAGTCGTCAGTCATAGGTTCAATTTCATGATGATCCAGCTGACGGAACCAATGAGGAACTGTTTCATCGTTATCATCATCAACGTGATCATTTTTCTCATAACTTTCATTCCACGAGCCACTTTTATCAGATGATTTGTCTGTATCTCCCCAGAAAGACCTCTTAGGTGTTGCTACTTCACGTGCAGTCTGTTATGAAATATACAATGTAAATGTTGTGGTTCATTTTTTTTATTTTTGGAATTTTATGTCTTTTATTATAAACTCATTTTCATACACTACTACACCAATAAACAAAAGACAATAACATTTAAACTAACAACAAAATTGAACCACAACAGTTTGACTTTAGAACCTAGTAGGCTAATCCCTTTCTCTACTATCTATTATGAAACTTTTTGACTTATTTCTAAGAACAAGGTAAGGTATTTTAAAGAGGGTAGCCATTTTTCCTCATGTAAGCAACCCTTGATGCAATATTATTATTGTCTGATCTCTATGTTCGCTGTACTGTTATTGGTAAATCAGATTGCAAGAAAGACTTTGAGTGACATGTCACTGTCTGTTTCATAATGAAGAAATTAAGTGTAATTAATTCCCTTAGTCTATCAAGTAGATGTGACAGACTTGTTCCCAGAGGAGCCCTCATCTGGTTTGACTCTCATAAGTGACCACTTCCAGTGAGCAAAGACTGAATCTTGAGATTTTGGCTGATCACCCACTTATGGAAGGTTAAACTGTCTCAAAAATGGAAGCTGTTCCTCACCACTCCTGGTTGGTAGAGAATGTATTCATCTTTGAAGACAGCTCTGCCTTCACGAGTGTTCGGCACAGGCTCTAACCAACCAGAATCAAGTAAACCTTGTCCTATTGTCACTGCCTGATTCCTGTTGGGTGTTGGTAGAAAAGGAACAGATTAGAAACATGGCGTTGTACTTGCCAACTCAGATCTATCTAACATGCAGGAGATTATTATTTATGACTTAATAGGTGATCATGTAACAGCCATATATAAAGAAACTATACAGGGTATTAACTCAACGGCAGCTTTTGTGCAGAGGTTCAATACCACGATAGATATTAGGGAGCTTAAGCAACAACAACTGAAATGGCTATTAGAATGGCACTCAAAAAGTGAAGTCCCACTACTTCAAACTTTATCGCCCTTATTCCATCTCCTTTAATTTGTCAAATGTTAGCAATTTTTTCCGGAGTTGAATTCTAAAACACAAGATCAAAGGTCAGGAAAAGAAAACAAGTCGTTGTCTTGTGTTCACATCTTCAACAAAACGTGAAATGAGGCATTTTCACGTTGTAGTTGTGCCGTGATGGCAAAGAAATGTACAAAAAAGCATGATGCACGTGCAAATTTGTTGTTTTGTCTATCTAAACCTATTGCTTTTTTGCCGTTCTCATTGACATCGCCATCGTTGTTGCTTAAGCTCCTTAATTACCATTACTAATGAATCTATGGACTTTCTACTGTCAGTAGTAAGAGTAAAATTATCCGAGATCATGACGCAATATTTTGAGAAAGGTCCAGTAGTGGTACCAATAGCTTGTACTGTATAAGCAGTTCTACTACGATCTGGGAGAAAACTTATTTTGAGATTACCTTGTAGATGTTTTTTCATACGTAAGCAGCCAATCAACCAGCTCGCTGCCAACAAGACAATTCTGATATGTTCTCAAGCGAAAACGGTGGCTCTGCAGTTCCAATCCAGACTTGGGTGAGATCATTTGATTCCACAGTTCACGAAAAGAGTCCTTATTTGTAAAGAGTAACAAAATTTTATCACAAAAAAACAAAACAACAACAGAAAACATAACTAAAAAGAGCACCTCTAGATTTCTGTGCAGAAAAGAGAAGTATGCAGTATCATCATCATCATCACCATCATTCAGGGTTGTCAAAAGTGACCAGCTGCCAGCGAAAATCACCACCTACTTGGTTAGTATTGGCCGACTACTCTACTTGGCATTTCTTTACGGATGGCCTTTTTTAAATAAAATATCCGTGGACTGGTTGGTTACTTTAACAACTCAGCCATCTACTTCAAAACTTTCTGACAACCCTGCCATTATCATCATCACCACAAATTTTATTGTAATTCAGATTTTCAGAGCAACATGCACAAGATGTCTAATAGTTCCAATTGTTACTTATAATAATATTATTCAATATCATTATCAGCTTGTCCGTTTAAAACAATAATTATGACAAATCACCCATCACTGACTTGTTTCAACATGTCTGCTTCAGCTGCACATACTCCAAATGCATCAAATGGTCTCCGCCCTGGCATTGGTAAAGGCCGTTCCTTCTCACCATAAGAACTCAATGCAGTCAGGCTTGGACTATTGCTTAGTTTCCTGTGTGTAGGCTGAACATAGAAATTCTCCTCATCCTCAAAATCAAATGGATAGCTCCTAGGATTTGCCAGGTTCATGTTGCCACTGTTGTTGGTAGTGATATCAGTATCTGAGGTAAATGCGCTTAGATCAGCCTGTAGTTGTTCCAAGTTTCTAACCATCAAGTCAGCTGACTGTGTGTACCGCTGGACTACCTTGTGACAGTAAGTGCACACTCGCAAAAACCCTGCCAATCAGAATATTATCATTAGTGTAAGCATGTATAAAACAGACCCTTGTGAGATGATAACTAAAAATTGGAAAGAAAATGTCAGATTTAAGGAAGGCAGAGTGGCTGAGACGTTAAAGTGCTGGAATTGTAACCTGAAAGCTTAGAGTTCAAGTCCAACTCCTGACCGTAGCTACATTTTTTTCGCCATAGTTCCAAGTTCAAATCCTTCATGGCCATGCTTATAAAACACCCAATTGGTTCACCTTGTACCTGCTGAGGTTCTTAGGCTTGTCTGTATTAACTGGGTTCCACTGCACAATTATATTAATTTTGTCTCTGACAAAAAGTAATGCTTGTCATTTATTTTAAAATTCTTTTGTTCATTTTTCTTTACCTGCATACCCCATGATCTTCCCAGGAATTTCCAAGTAACAGCACCTGTAGCAAAATATTTGACCACAGAGGCGGCAATGGTGCCTGCGGCGGAAGGTGTTGAACTTTTCCCCACATTCATAACATTCCTTGCAGTTCTCATCTGGCATCCAATACTGCTTAAAATCACTCTTTTTGTATTCTTGTCGTAGCTGAAAAAAAAATCAAATCAACAACTATGGGTGATAAAATTATGTTTTCAAGCAATGGCCAATTATTGCTCTTGCATGGGTATTGAAAATAAAGGAGATGTACATCTTTGCAAGAACCATTGAAATCTGCAAAGAAAATTGGGCTTTCAGTGATTTATTGGGAATAAATTATTTTAAAAGAGCTTTAACATATATGAACAATACAGGGCAATTTTACTTTGTGCAAAATTAAAGGTTATAAAATAATAATAAAAGTATGTGGTTAACCCAATATTTTCCCTTTCCTAGAGGTAAAAAAAAAACAGAAATATTGAAAAATAGTTTGATCATCTGAGGGAAAAGGAAAGGAAATATTTAGCAAAACAAAAAATTCTATTTGAATCTGAGGAGAAACTCTCCACAAAATTATGCGTTCAATACACTATGTTTAATACAAAGATGCACCTAGACATGAAGTTATATTCAAGAAGTTTTTCGAAGATTTGCTCAGTTAAGGGTCATAAAATGAATGACAGTGTGGTAAAAGTATCCATGAACAAATTTTATGTTACCTAAAATCTGAAATTTAAACAAAGAGATGCAAAAATTAAAAACAGTTTACAGAGACACGGCATGCCAATGATGTAAAGGTAGCAGAACAGGGATATTAATTCTGAGCAGGCCAGATGGGTGCATTGTAAGATTTCTGTACAACCTCGTACATTTATTATGCATGCAGCAATTTCAATACTTTTTGGCCCACTTGAAACGTAGATCTTTCCATTTAACAAATTTGATACCTATTTAGGTTAACCCAAATACTACAAGGTGGAGGGTTCATTTCGATGTCAAACCTAATTAGTCAGACGCAATTCATTTTCACGAAGCTCAATGGTCTAAGTGAAAATTATTTATGCATTAGGTTCAGCACATGAGGAGATCAATATTTGAAACAAAGTTGCTCCACAGTCAAAATTCCCAGATAGGCCACTCCATCTTAATTCATGGGTCAACCCAAATTAGACATGTTGGACTTAACTGATTCAAACGTCAATCTCTTCATGTGTACTTAATTCAAGGGATTAAATTTGGTACATGAAAAGATTGACGTTTGAACTGGGCCTTTCTCCCGAATAGTTTAACACGAATACAGTTGAAACATGTATGCATAATAAATGTATGGGGTTATAAGAAAATCTTACCGGGGCCATTATTCCTGCTCATGAAACCAGTCAGAACACAGAATTTGCCCCATCTCGCCCGCTTAATTGAGATCAATAAGTGGAATGTCGTCCGTTGGGAATTTTCAACCCCAAACTAACCTGCCCTCGACCATCCGCAGCGGCGTTCAGGCGGCCCAAGACGGCATGAACGTTGCGGTAACCTGGAGAGTTACGCCTACTGCCGATCCCTACACTCCCCGGCGCGCTCGTCCTCCGTCTACCGATGAGAGGTGAGGCTGACCAGGAACGGGGCAGTTCAGGATTTTTTGTCGTCGACACTCGTTTCTGCAGCTGAGGTGAGCTTCTAGGACTAACTAATGGGCTCACAGGACGGTGTTTTTTTGTGCTATCAATTTTGACCTCCACTCGAGCCTCGGGTCTTTTTCTTTGAAATAATCGTGCCAAAGAAAAGCTCGATTGCGAAGTATCTGGACTGAGCGGACGAAACGACGTCAACCTAACATCATCTTCTGAATCCATCTGGTTTTAGCCTGATTTACCTGAGCTCTAAGTGTTTTAACACGTTTTCCATTTTCCAGTAATAATAAGATGCGTTTCTAACATTTTAGGTAAAGAAATATAGGTGACAAAACACCTCCAGGACGAGAAATCTTCTACATATCGGATCTTTCTACCTTCTCTCATGAATACTCGAAAAAAACACTGGACCGAGTCTGCAGACACGACCGCTATCGCAAAAGGGGAAAGTGCCTTCAAGTAATATCAATCAGAGTGTAACTTATTATAAAAAGATGGCGGCGACCAACCCAGGAGATTTAACGCAAATCCAGTTGCGTGAAAATTTAGAATTGCAGCTCTCTGAGGTTGAAATGCTTCGATCTATGTATCCAGAAGAAGAGGAGTTCAATTTGGATGAGCAAGCACTTCTAGATGTACAAGAATTTTGTTCTGGTAGGACAGATGAAAAACCACATAGTCTTCTTAACTTCACACTGACCATTAGCTTGCACGACTGTAATGGAGATGGTGGGAGAGAAAACTCTATAGATCTGTCTTGTTATTTCCCTCAAGAATATCCCAACAGTAAACCAGAGCTCTTTGTTAGATCGCAAAGTCTTAACAGAGAAACTCAGAGGGAGCTTAATGAGGAGTTAAACTCTCATATAACTGCAACAGTTGGCTCTGGAGAACTATGCACATTGCCAGCACTACAATGGATTCAGGAAAATGGGGAAATGTACATTGCTCGTAGCCAAGCTGAAATTAAATCTTCTACAACAATTACAAGCAAATCTCAAGAAAATGAGGTTAAAATAAAAAGAGATAGGATGTTCTTACGAATGTGGTTATATATGCATCACATATATAGTAAAACAAAAAGGAAAGATATTCTTCAATGGGCCACTGACTATAACCTCACTGGTTTCTGTCTCCCGGGTAAGCCAGGGGTTGTTTGCTTGGAAGGTGATGAATACAATGTTGAAGAGTACTTCAGTCGTTTACGGAGGCTTAATTGGAAGAAAATTACTTGCAGACATCGAGAAAAGGGAGAAGAAAACAAAAGCATTGATGATCAGAGAAAGTTTCCTGGATTTGAAGAATTGTTCTTTGAAGTTCATGGCACAAGAGAAAACCATATGGATATGGGCCAGTTTCTTCATTATTTAGAACAACATAATTTAGGTTATATTTTTCAAATTTTATTTGGTATAGAAGGTAAATCTTCTTTTGACAAGTAAAAGTAACAATAAAGATACAGTATTATTTAAATACAAAATAACCAGTGTAAATATTTTATATTGGGAAATTTAATTAAAGATGGTAACTAAAATTTTGTTTTCTTTTCTTCTGAGAATGTACCATGAGTTTCCTTGACAGGATGCTTGTTAGCACCCAACCCCACCCCCATCCTCACTCCCAACCCTCCCCCACCACTACCACTGCTGCCAACACCTTTTCGTGAGAAAAATAACAGGAATTGTACCTAACAATATTAAGACAACAGGATGACTGTGGGAAAAAATGATGTTGAGCATATCCAAAGGAGAATGCTGGCAGCTTATTCTACACCATGAAGTGTGTGATCATATGAAAAGGGGATGTTCCTTAGGCAGACGGGTCATTCCATCCTAAGCTACCTTCTGTACCAATCACACTAAACGACTATTGGGTCTATATTAGGCCATCAATTCCTTGTGTCACGCCTGTCATATCAGTGTTGCGTGAGAATGAAAATTAGAGGTGTGCTCGGGGACTGGACACCACAGGAGAAACCATCATTGCTGCCGCTTTCGCTCCAGAGATCGAAGAATCAATCGGAAGGCTTCAAGCCTTAACCAAGCCACAGATATTGTGTAGAGTTCCCGGCAGTTGTACAGGTGGGCACAATTGTCATCTGTTATATATATAACACTTGCAAGGTTCTCCTTGTTTAAGAACGAAGAGCAAGATCAGTTTGACATATTTAAAGTTCGTCACAAAAACAAAATTTTCCTCTGCGTTCGGTCATGATGTCCGTTTCAGCTTGCTGCGTCGGAATGTCTTGTTCATTTTTTTTTACGTCCGCTGTGATCAGCCACTTTCATTTGTTTGATTCCAAAATGCAGTAAGAACCTCTCATGCATTGTTGTTAGGTAGTTTTGCTTTGTTTAAACATATGCGCAAGATTGCGATTTGTAGATTTTCAGTGAAGCTTCCGCTTGAGCATCTTCGATTCTCGGAGTCGAATTTTTGTTAATTTCTGCGCTCTTGCCTCAATCGAGTTGTGTGGGCGGAATTTATCAATCAGTAAGAACCGCTTATTTAACTTTTGCTGATTTTGAAGAGGTTTCTAACTTGTTAACGTACTCTATGGCTGTAAAGTTGAGCTAATATATTATCGATCGAGAGTGTATTGTGTTAGACCTACTGAGTGACTGTCCATTTTTAACAATTTAATACCTGAACATACCTGTGGTGAGTATTTTTTCAATCGCCTCTTTTTCTCCGGAGGAAGAAATTAGGCTCAACTGGAATTGAATTATCGCGATCAAGTCGCTAATATTCTTAACTTTTCATTTTTCCAGTGTGATGCTTTGCTCACATAGAGACATGGCTCGAGAACTTGTCAACGAATATAGTAATTAATTACACTTTGCTTGATTTTAAAATGAAAGTAAAATTGGTTATGAAGGGGAAAATGGAACATTTAAGCTAATTTTTGCACAACATAAATTGTTATTCATGTACACATACATAAGAATGCAGTTTTTAACAACGTGTGTGGTTCTAGAAAAGTGTATCTTGCAAGTTGTTCATTTCAGAATCAAAAATTCCGACCACTCTCTTCAAACCCTTACACATATATGTAAGTTTAACATATTAATGCGGATCAAACTTTAATTTATCGTTGATCTGTTCTTGAAGGTAAAAAAATCAGGATCATTTCCGCTAAAAAATAGATGTTTACTTGGCAGCTTTCATGCTTGTTCAATTCTGTCACTTTTCTGGTTTCCTACGTGGGTTTGGTGTTAGGCAAGTCATTTTATGTGTAACCAGCTGCTTTCCTTGTTTTTACTAACTTACTAAACAATTTTCGTTTTCATGTTATTTACTTCATGTAAATTTATTCATAATCATCAAGATTTGTGGTAACAAATATTGATCAAGAATTTATAATTGCCTCGCAGCATTTTACTTTGTACGATAATTGACTGTTTTTTTTACATTAAATATTGTCACTGTATAATCCCAACAAAATTATGTCTGAGGGTTGATCTTCTGCTGATTTTGTGGTTTCACATTCATGAAGGTAGCGTAACCATCTCATCAGTGACATTCAATGTTCATCTGCAATATCTCACATTAAATAACAAGATATCCTGATTTGCATTGAAAAAATAGAGTTACGCTCGCCTGATAAATACTGCAGCTGTTTCACTTGAATACTAGTACTCATAGAACCATTGCATATCTTTTCTGTCACTTCCAGAAAATTATAAATTATCTTAAGTGTTTTGAAGAATGTCTTTTTTAAACGTCTGAAAATTTCCAACCTTAAAGCAAAAAGAAAAATTTTCTTTTTAGTTAAAGAACCAGGTGATTCAAATTATACAGTTACAAAAAAAAGTTATGTGCAAATAATTAACAATTATTATTGGATGAGGTTGAGCAAAATATCATGATTTGTCAGTGGCGAGAGGGACTCTGACAAATCACAATATTTTGTGATAACAGAGGTCAGTAATTGTTTGATCATTTGATCACCAAGTTTGTTTTTTAAAGGAATAGCTTCAGGAAGCAAAGCGATCTGCCACTTTCACACGAGCAATCACAAGATGGAGAGAAACGTGGTTTCATTTATGCATTCATGAACCGAATATTATTTGCAGCCAAACAAAGTTGGACGACATTGTGCATGAGCAGACCATTTTTTGTAGGCAGTTATTTCCAGGTCACGTGGTGGGCCAATAAAAAGGAAGAAAAATTTGCAACAAATGATTATTTAATTTTTTAGCCTATGTGCAGATGTCTCCTTTTCCTACAGTAATTAAATTAAAAGGAAATACTACACAATTAAACCTCTCTACAGTGGCCACCTTTTGGATGGAAATAAGAGTAGCCTCAGAAGACATTCTTAAGCCTGGTTCTCATATGCTGGCGAAGTATGTGACATGGCTGCCGATACTGCCTGCGATACTACTCCGACATATGAGGACACACCGCCAGCAACAAGAAACATCGCAGGTCTTTACAACTTGCATTCCTGCGAAGTCAAACTTCAGTCAACTTCGGAGGCATGCCAACGGTGAAGACTGACATGGCCTCTGCTACCAGCACCTTCTGTTCTCACATCAGAACAGTGTCGCAGGAAGTACCGGCAGTTATGTCACAGGTAGCTTAGTGGCATATGAGAACCAGGCTTTACTTCAGAGTGAGCACAGGTCTGTCGGAGGCTGATCCTTTTTTGGTCACCACAGGACACCGAAGTAGAAATTGCAGATTACAATGGTATGATTGTAACATATTTCTCCTTTTTTTTTCATGATCTTCACTGCAGGCTTGACAATGTCTGTATCATCTGTAAATGGTCCAAGCTCTGGATCAACTATCGTTAAAGTAGGCTGGCTTCAGAAACGAGGTGAGTAAACGAGGTAAATTTGGCCAGGGTTATGGGAAGCATGCTGAACAACCCCACCCTAATTCTCCAAAAGCACCTTTTAACCCTTTAAACCCTAAGATCAAAATTTGAATTCTCATTTGTTGCCCCTATTCATTTCCTACAGAAGTAGTGGGGAGAAGTTGATAAAATATCAAGCAAATTCATCTTGTGTGATGTAAAAAAATCAGGATCATTTCCGCTAAAAAATAGATGTTTACTTGGCAGCTTTCATGCTTGTTCAATTCTGTCACTTTTCTGGTTTCCTACGTGGGTTTGGTGTTAGGCAAGTCATTTTATGTTTAACCAGCTGCTTTCCTTGTTTTTACTAACTTACTAGACAATTTTCTCTTTCATGTTGTTTCATGTAAATTTATTCATAATCATCAAGATTTGTGGTAACAAATATTGATCAAGAATTTATAATTGCCTTGCAGCATTTTACTTTGTATGATAATTGACTGTTTTTTTTACATTAAATATTGTCACTGTATAATCCCAACAAAATTATGTCTGAGGGTTGATCTTCTGCTGATTTTGTGGTTTCATATTCATGAAGGTAGCGTAAACATCTCATCAGTGGCATTCAATGTTCATCTGCAATATCTCACATTAAATAACAAGATATCGTGATTTGCATTGAACAATAATAGAGTACGCTCGCCTGATAAATACTGCAGCTGTTTCACTTGAATACTAGTACTCATAGAGCCATTGCATATCTTTTCTGTCACTTCCAGAAAATTACAAATTATCTTAAGTATTTTGAAGAATGTCTTTAAAGGTCTGAAAATTTCCAACCTTAAAGCAAAAAGAAAAATTTTCTTTTTAGTTAAAGAATCAGGTGATTCAAATTATACAGTTACAAAAAAAAGTTATGTGCAAATAATTAACAATTATTATTGGATGAGGTTGAGCAAAATATCATGATTTGTCAGTGGCGAGAGCGACGCTGACAAATCACAATATTTTGTGATAACCGAGGTCAGTAATTGTTTGATCATTTGATCACCGAGTTTGTTTTTTAAAGGAATATCTTCAGGAAGCAAAGCGATCTGCCATTTTCACACAAGAGCAATCACAAGATGGAGAGAAACGTGGTTTCATTTATGCATTCATGAACCGAATATTATTTGCAGCCAAACAAAGTTGGACGACATTGTGCATGAGCAGACCATTTTTTGTAGGCAGTTATTTGCAGGTCATGTGGTGGGCCAATAAAAAGGAAGAAAAATTTGCAACAAATGATTATTTAATTTTTTAGCCTGTGTGCAGATGTCTCCTTTTCCTACAGCAATTAAATTAAAAGGAAATACTACACAATTAAACCTCTCTACAGTAGCCACCTTGTGGATGGAAATAAGAGTAGCCTCAGAAGACATTCTTAAGCCTGGTTCTCATATGCTGGCGAAGTATGTGACATGGCTGCCGATACTGCCTGGGATACTACTCCGACATATGAGGACATTACACCGCCAGCAACAAGAAACATCGCAGGTCTTTACCACTTGCATTCCTGCGAAGTCAAACTTCAGTCAACTTCGGAGGCATGCCAACAGTGAAGACTGACATGGCCTCTGCTACCAGCACCTTCTGTTCTCACATTAGAACAGTGTCGCAGGCAGTACCGGCAGTTATGTCACAGGTAGCTTAGTGGCATATGAGAACCAGGCTTTACTTCAGAGTGAGCACAGGTCTGTCGGAGGCTGATCCTTTTTTGGTCACCACAGGACACCCAAGTAGAAATTGCAGATTACAATGGTATGATGGTAACATATTTCTCCTATTTTTTTCATGATCTTCACTGCAGGCTTGACAATGTCTGTATCATCTGTAAATGGTCCAAGCTCTGGATCAACTATTGTTAAAGTAGGCTGGCTTCAGAAACGAGGTAAGTAAACAAGGTAAATTTGGCCAGGGTTATGGGAAGCATGCTGAACAACCCCAGCCTAATTCTCCAAAAGCACCTTTTAACCTTAGAAAGAGTCAGTCCCTTCACAGAGCACAGCCATTTTTTCCACCATTTTTTCGCTGACCACCTTCCTCCTGATCATAATAGCCCTTTTTTTTATCCGATTCCCAGGGGAGTACATTAAGAATTGGAGACCTAGATATTTTCAGCTTTGGAGTGATGGTACTTTCATTGGGTACAAGGAGATTCCCAAGTCAAGAGAAACTGAACCTTTGAACAACTTCTCTGTTTCCAGTAAGTACACTGATAAATAACTTCAATACTAAACTTCAATAATTGAGTAAGTAACATTTATAACATCGGAAATCGCCAAAGTATCTTTATTATGTGCTAATGTTAATTTGCACTTTTATACATGTATACTGGATAATAACTCTTGCCAGTTCATCGTCAAGTTGCCATGGTAATTGACCAATTCTAGGTTCTATTGCATTATTTCTCCCCTGACCCAGCAAAGCTTTGCTCTAGGAGCACTCATGTAGCCCCGCCCGGCACCTTTGTTATTATACACTCTACAGTGTAATATAATTTTGTGATCTAATGTATTTTTTGTTATTTATTTTACCAGAGTGCCAAATTATGAGAACAGAAAAGCCGAAGTCAAATTCATTTATTATAAGGTATAGTGTGTGTTTATTTTCCAGTGCTTGAACCCTCTGAAGCTTTTGTAACAGGGGCGGATCTAGGGGGAGGGTGCAGGGAGTGTGCACCCCCCCTTAGATGACCTGCGGTTTTCTAATACAACTGGTATTCTGCAAAAAAAAAACTATGTAGTTTATTGGTGTTGAAGTAGAGCAAGAGACAAGTGCACCCCCTCCGAAAAAAAAATCCTGGATCCGCCCCTGTGTACTCTAATATAAAACTGGTAACAGCAAGCTTTCTATTACCTATCTGAGATGTGTGATATGTATGAACTCATAACATGAGAAGAGCCACCTTTCTGTTACCTTGAAAAAAACAAACAAAACAAGTGGAAAGGAGACCAGGTTTATGGCTTAATGTCACCTCCCAAGATCATTGGCATTGAGACTAGATTACAATGCTGTGCTCTAAGGAACGTTGAAGGGAGCCCTGTGCTCTGAACCTGTGAAATCCAGGGTGCCCAGCATATGATTTGTATGCAAAAACTAAGATTTTCTGGTTACCGGAGAGCAAAAGTTAGGCGCTAGGGGACACCGGGACAGGGGCACAGCCTTGGATTATCACTTCACCCAGCATGAGCTTGTAGTCCAGCATTGGTTTGAGCACAGGCCTCCCACTCAGCAACCAGGGGTAAGCCTGCTGACTTAACTTGGTAGCAGTAAGTTTCCATGAACTTAGTGTTTGGTGTTGTTAGTGATCAACATCAATTTTCTCCTAACAATATTAATACATAACCAAGAGAAAAGGTTATGAGAGTTAATGCAGTGATCACCAAAGAAAAAGGTTTTGATTTTTAACAAATTTTCTCAACAAAAATTTATGAAGATCTGTCTGGAGAATTTGTATGCAGGTATTGGAAAGAGAAAATGGATGATGGTGACCTTTTAGGGATAAAAGGTTACCATCGGTGAAATCTTGTGTAATTTACTATAAAAATAATACGACTTTCAGTACATAGAAAAATGTTTTGTGATGTTTTTCTTATCCACAGATGTTGGCAGTGGACTACACTGATAGAGAGGACATTCCATTTAGACAACCTTGCTGAAAGGTTTGCTGTTCACTAAACTGCATCTGATTGCTTGTGGTTACAGTTTTTTTATTATTTTCTAAAGGTTTATGTCCAATTTTCCCCTTGCCTCTTCCCTTTTGAGTGCCTGGCATGGAGGAGGCTAAGGAAAGAGGCCCTGTGGTGGGTAGTAATGTCCTCTGGGGGGGTGGTAATGTATGTCCCTAGACTGATTTTCAAAACCTGTTGTTTTGCATTTTGAGAAGGTGGCCATGTCCCTGTTGGTATTTTACTATTGTATTTGGAATTTCAGTTTCAATACCATCTTCATGTCGCTGTTTCAAGGCCTGTGTTGCTTGTTGAAATGTTACCTTAGGGGCCTCAGGAAAGACCCGCTTGTCACATAGATTGGAATTGAATTGCAAGTCTTGGTTTTATTCAAAGCCTCTTAAGCTTTTAGCCTTAATATTATTTTGAAATGTTCATATGCACAGTAAATTTTGTTGTCAAATTTTTCAGAGAAGAATGGGTTTCTTCCATTCAAGAGGTAGCTGATAAATTGCGTGAAAGTGCAAAATATGAAAAAGAGGACTCAGTGACAGATGAAATCACCTTGAGAAGTCAAAAAATGGTTTGTTAATTAACTTTTTGTTTTAGAAGAAAACTGACTAACTGCCTCAATGTATGCTCTGTTTTACTGTGTCAGTTTGTTCTAATTAGCATTGTCCTTTAGCATTCCCCCAAAACATTCCAGTTTCAGAAAGCTCAGTGTTCTAAACAGGATTTACGAGTCTTCATAGCTAATAACATCACGGCTTAACTGACAGACGACCAATAACATCACAACATAATTGACCAATCAAATCAATAACCAGAGTATAATAACATCAACTGACGTGATACAACTCACTTTGACTCCGACGATGACTACAGAACAGGTTGTCGAAACATCAGTCACTGTCAACAATAACAGTCCTATTCAGGACTACGTTCACCCGGTCGATCAAACTCAACCTACTTTGACAGGATTTTTAGTTGGGCAAACTTGAGGGCCCCTGATTGAAATATCAGGCCCACACTAAAGAGAAGTCATCTCTCATACTTATCAGCTGCATGTATTACTATTTTTCCTAAATTTTAAATATCTTTTTTTAGACCCTAGATGATTTCCATCTACTGAAAGTTCTTGGAAAAGGGACATTTGGTAAGGTCATGCTAGCAAAGTTCAAGACGACTGGCGAAGTTGTTGCGCTTAAGATTTTAAAGAAAGAAGTTATTGTTGCCAAGGTCAGTAAACACATTTTTTTTCAACAACTCACGAGCAAGATGGAGTGGTAGTCACTTCTGATAGTCTCATTTACACAAGCAATTTCTTGTAATTTTCATTGTGATTTGATATGGACTTAAACATTATCCAATAATATTTAAATCAAAATTTCATCCCACAGGATGAAGTCGCACATACATTAACAGAAAACAGAGTACTAAGAACAATGGTTCATCCTTTTCTCACAGTAAGTTGCTACATGTTTCATTTGGACCTAATCATTACAGTCAAACCAAGTCAAGCGTACCCCCCAAGATTCTATTAATGAATTGATTATTTGAAAAATGAATCCGTTGGTCGTTCCCGTAACTGGTGTCAAATTCAAAGCGGCATTTCTGCATGCGTAATGAGCAGTGAATATTTTACGAGAACTTCTCTGTATTTGGTCAGATTGGAAATCTTTGAATGGATTAAGCTTCTTAGAAGACATTTACATCAATTTCAGGGAAAATGGAGCTGGTATAAATTTCATAACTGCCTCGCGTGCGAATTCACGGCTCATTACACATGCAAGAATGCAGGGATCACTCTGAAATCTACAACTAGCAACGGATTCAACTTTTGAATAATAAATTCATTAATGTATTCTTGGGGGGTACGCTTGACCTGGTTTGACTGTAACTTCAATAAAATATCAACAAATCAGAATTATAACGTCAACATTGTATGCAAGTATGGTATCACTGTGCGTTGTTGTCAATTTATTAGTCACCTCAAGTAAATTTTACCACATCAGAATTCATTAACTTTGTTGCCTTTGTGTTGTCGCACAGGAGCTGAAGTACTCTTTTCAAACAAAAGAAAGACTAATATTTGTAATGGAATATGTCAATGGTGGTGAGGTTAGTAATAGACGTGTATTATCTTGGTTATATTATTATATTATTATTATTTAGTTTAAAATAAATAAAAATGAAGCAAAGGGAAGTGGAGTGAAAAAAGAATGGGAAAAAAGGATGACAAATCTAGCTACAGCTGTAGTAGCGGCCAGGGTGGGACTTGATTTCAAGGCCGAAGGATTGCAAGGTGAATGCTCTACACATGGCCTCACTGCCTCCTTAAACTAAAAAAAGGAAATCAAAAACAGGAGGTGGGAAAGAAATATGAAGAGAACTTTGAATTGCTTAATGGCCACAGGAATGTAAATGTAAATGCACATATAGCTGATAGAATGTGGATTATCACTATACAGTGTATCTTCATTTTAATAGTACAGTATATATTCACTTCATTCTCTTTAGGTAGAAATAGAAAATTAATTCAAAATGATAGTGATTAAATCACAGCTTATATTTGTTGATGTTGCTGTTTGCTATTTTGTTTCATCAGCTTTTTTTCCACCTATCTAAAGAACGTGTGTTCTCAGAGGACCGGTCAAGGTTTTATGCTTCTGAAATTGTTTTAGCCGTCAAGTATCTTCATGAGAAGAAAGTTTACTCTAATATAAAACTGGTAACAGCAAGCTTTCTATTACCTATCTGAGATGTGTGATATGTATGAACTCATAACATGAGAAGAGCCACCTTTCTGTTACCTTGAAAAAAACAAACAAAACAAGTGGAAAGGAGACCAGGTTTATGGCTTAATGCCACCTCCCAAGATCATCGGCACTGAGACTAGATTACAATGCTGTGCTCTAAGGAACGTTGAAGGGAGCCCTGTGCTCTGAACCTCTGTAATCCAGGGTGCCCAGCATATGATTTGTATGCAAAAACTAAGATTTTCTGGTTACCGGAGAGCAAAAGTTAGGCGCTAGGGGACACCGGGACAGGAGCACAGCCTTGGATTATCACTTCACCCAGCATGAGCTTGTAGTCCAGCATTGGTTTGAGCACAGGCCTCCCACTCAGCAACCAGGGGTAAGCCTGCTGACTTAACTTGGTAGCAGTAAGTTTCCATGAACTTAGTGTTTGGTGTTGTTAGTGATCAACATCAATTTTCTCCTAACAATATTAATACATAACCAAGAGAAAAGGTTATGAGAGTTAATCCAGTGATCACCAAAGAAAAAGGTTTTGATTTTTAACAAATTTTCTCAACAAAAATGTATGAAGATCTGTCTGGAGAATTTGTATGCAGGTATTGGAAAGAGAAAATGGATGATGGTGACCTTTTAGGGATAAAAGGTTACCATGGGTGAAATCTTGTGTAATTTACTATAAAAATAATACGACTTTCAGTACATAGAAAAATGTTTTGTGATGTTTTTCTTATCCACAGATGTTGGCAGTGGACTACACTGATAGAGAGGACATTCCATTTAGACAACCTTGCTGAAAGGTTTGCTGTTCACTAAACTGCATCTGATTGCTTGTGGTTACAGTTTTTTTATTATTTTCTAAAGGTTTATGTCCAATTTTCCCCTTGCCTCTTCCCTTTTGAGTGCCTGGCATGGAGGAGGCTAAGGAAAGAGGCCCTGTGGTGGGTAGTAATGTCCTCTGGGGGGGTGGTAATGTATGTCCCTAGACTGATTTTCAAAACCTGTTGTTTTGCATTTTGAGAAGGTGGCCATGTCCCTGTTGGTATTTTACTATTGTATTTGGAATTTCAGTTTCAATACCATCTTCATGTCGCTGTTTCAAGGCCTGTGTTGCTTGTTGAAATGTTACCTTAGGGGCCTCAGGAAAGACCCGCTTGTCACATAGATTGGAATTGAATTGCAAGTCTTGGTTTTATTCAAAGCCTCTTAAGCTTTTAGCCTTAATATTATTTTGAAATGTTCATATGCACAGTAAATTTTGTTGTCAAATTTTTCAGAGAAGAATGGGTTTCTTCCATTCAAGAGGTAGCTGATAAATTGCGTGAAAGTGCAAAATATGAAAAAGAGGACTCAGTGACAGATGAAATCACCTTGAGAAGTCAAAAAATGGTTTGTTACTTAACTTTTTGTTTTAGAAGAAAACTGACTAACTGCCTCAATGTATGCTCTGTTTTACTGTGTCAGTTTGTTCTAATTAGCATTGTCCTTTAGCATTCCCCCAAAACATTCCAGTTTCAGAAAGCTCAGTGTTCTAAACAGGATTTACGAGTCTTCATAGCTAATAACATCACGGCTTAACTGACAGACGACCAATAACATCACGACATAATTGACCAATCAAATCAATAACCAGAGTATAATAACATCAACTGACGTGATACAACTCACTTTGACTCTGACGATGACTACAGAACAGGTTGTCGAAACATCAGTCACTGTCAACAATAACAGTCCTATTCAGGACTACGTTCACCCGGTCGATCAAACTCAACCTACTTTTGACAGGATTTTTAGTTGGGCAAACTTGAGGGCCCCCGATTGAAATATCAGGCCCACACTAAAGAGAAGTCATCTCTCATACTTATCAGCTGCATGTATTACTATTTTTCCTAAATTTTAAATATCTTTTTTTAGACCCTAGATGATTTCCATCTACTGAAAGTTCTTGGAAAAGGGACATTTGGTAAGGTCATGCTAGCAAAGTTCAAGACGACTGGTGAAGTTGTTGCGCTTAAGATTTTAAAGAAAGAAGTTATTGTTGCCAAGGTCAGTAAACACATTTTTTTTCAACAACTCACAAGCAAGATGGAGTGGTAGTCACTTCTGATAGTCTCATTTACACAGGCAATTTCTTGTGATTTTCGTTGTGATTTGATATAGCCATAAACATTATCCAATAATATTTAAATCAAAATTTCATCCCACAGGATGAAGTTGCACATACATTAACAGAAAACAGAGTACTAAGAACAATGGTTCATCCTTTTCTCACGGTAAGTTGCTACATGTTTCATTTGGACCTAATCATTAACTTCAATAAAATATCAACAAATCAGAATTATAACGTCAACATTGTATGCGAGTATGGTATCACTGTGCATTGTTGTCAATTAGTCACCTCAAGTAAATTTTACCACATCAGAATTCATTAACTTTGTTGCCTTTGTGTTGTCACACAGGAGCTGAAGTACTCTTTTCAAACAAAAGAAAGACTAATATTTGTAATGGAATATGTCAATGGTGGTGAGGTTAGTAATAAACGTGCATTATCGTGCTGTTATTATTTAGTTGGTAATAAATAAAAACAAAACAAAGGGAAGTGGAGTGTAAAAAGAATGGGAAAAAAGGATGACAAATCTAGCTACAGCTGTAGCGGCCAGGGTGGGACTTGAACACAAGGCCAAAGGATTCCAAGGTGAATGCTCTACACATGGCCTCGCTGCCTCTTTAAGCTAAAAAAAGGAAATCAAAAACAGGAGGTGGGAAAGAAATATGAAGAGAACTTTGAATTGCTTAATGGCCGCAGGAATGTGAATGTAAATGCACATATAAATGATAGAATGTGGATTATCACTATACAGTGTATCTTCATTTTAATAGTACAGTATATATTCACTTTATTCTCTTTAGGTAGAAATAGAAAATTAATTCAAAGTGATAGCAGTTAAATCACAGCTTATATTGTTAATTTTGCTGTTTGCTATTTTGTTTCATCAGCTTTTTTTCCACCTATCTAAAGAACGTGTGTTCTCAGAGGACCGGTCAAGGTTTTATGCTTCTGAAATTGTTTTAGCCGTCAAGTATCTTCATGAGAAGAAAGTGATTTACAGAGATCTTAAGGTAATTTCCAACAGGTCAGATGTAAGTTCTTTTCCCATATTCTTGGCTTGCAACCACTGTTTGAATTTAAAAGATGTTAAGTAGCATACTTTCAGCATTCAGCTTTATGATTTCCATGTTCCAGTAGATTAGTTTATTTAGACTTTCTCTTTTTTGACAGCTTGAAAATTTGCTGCTTGACTCAGAGGGTCATATTAAAATTGCTGACTTTGGGCTTTGTAAAGAAGATGTTTCACATGGAGCAACAACAAAGACATTTTGTGGCACTCCTGAATACTTGGCACCTGAGGTTAGTTTTCCATATCTTCTCTCATGGCAACTGTATAAATAAGTAGTTTTTATAATCTGAAAATTATGTTGATTACTTATGTCTGAAAATTAGGTGAAAACCTGACAAAATTTATACAAGTGATTGTCAAAGTACATGTACGTAAACATTGCTTGTAGAAGTAAGTTGAAGTTACCCAACAGATTATTGAACAGAAAATTTTCCTTAATTTATATGTTTTTATGAAGGTTGAAAGCCTAATAAGAATGGAATATATTTTAAATGAAGGACACGTTTTAAGTACAATCTAGTTTGCATAGCAGTTTTTTCCATTTCCTTT